TTATTTATTTATATGTGCGCCGGGGCTCGAACCCAGTGCCTCGCAAGGCTCCACTCGTGCTGTAGCACTGAGCTACAATCCTACAATCCCAGCCCCTCCCCCCCCTTTTTTCCCCGTTCCAGGAATTGAATCCCAGGCTGCTTTCCCACTGGGCCACATCACCAGCCCCCTCCCCTCTAAGATTTTATCTGGAGACAGTTCTCCCAAACTACCTCTTGGCCTTGTTAAATTGGTGCAGCCGGCTTTGAATTTGCAATCCTCCTGCCTCAGCTTCCTGAGCCCCTGACATCACAGGTGTGCGCGATGCACCGGGCTCGCACAAATGCTTTAGTTTTTTCCTCACGGGGAGTCGTGGGGTTTGATCCTACGAATTTTTTACCCGGTAGGAAGATCCACCAGCGTCCTCCGTCCAGTCGGGTGGCGCTCGCACTACCGGTGGGCTCCAAATTTACGCTTTTATCCCGCTCAGCTGAAGAGGTACTGGTTCCTTTGGAGATGTTTCTTGTGGCAGTTGTCAGAGAAGGTGGTGCCTGGAGGGCGCCAGAGACAGGGGAAGGGAAAGTGGCGCACCCCGTTTTCTGTGGCTGACCCGGAGGGTCTGCCGGTCACCGGGTGTGTCCCCCACGGAGCTCTGGGCACTGCAGGCGGCTCCCCCAGGACCCGGCCGGGCAGGGCGCAGAGGCCAGCCACACTCTGGTTCCAGCGACATCCCTGGGTCTCCCTTGGCAGGCATGTACCAGAAGCTTCCGGAAAAACACCCCTGTTGACCCGCAGATGCCCCAGGGGGCGCATTCTAGAAAGCCCACTGCGGGGAGGGGGTGTGTGTGTGCGCCCCAACCTCCCTGCCCTTTGGGGAGGTGCTTCATCCCAGGCTCCCTTACGAGGTGGGCGTTTCAGCTGTGGAGCGGCCACTTTTCCTGGGGTGCTGTCCTTCAGCCCAGGAGGTGTGCTTATTACGGGGGTCTCAGTGCAGCCTGGGGAGGTTCTGCTCAGCCCTATATGGACGCCTGGTGAGGCGATGCGCTCAGTCCAGGAGGGCTTTCCCTTGGCACCCCTTCTCAGCTCTGCAGAGGTCCTCAGGAAGCCCCCACAGTTCTGGGAGGGACACTGTGCGGATGACTCTCTCTCTCTCTCTCTCTCTCTCTCTCTCTCTCTCTCTCTCTCTCCCCTCTCTCTCTCTACACACACACACACACACACACACACACACACACGCGCGCGCGCGCGCACACACGCACGCACACACGCACACACACGCACACACACACACACGTGTGGCAGTTCTCTGCAGGCGAGCAGCCATCCTTAAGGGGGCAGTGTTCCTGGCGTCCTGGGTGAGCCCCACGAGGGGACTCTTCCCTTCCTTCCGTGCTGTCTGGCCACCAGGGCTTCGCTCCTTACCTTGGGACTGCTCCCCGAAGTGTGGATCTCCACACAGAAGGGGCTTCTTTCCTGACGGCTCTTAGCCCCAGGTGAGGTGCATGCCTTGGCCAGTCCAGCTCCGCGGCGTGGGGGTGGCGGCGTCATCTCGCCTGCCTTGGGTCTCAGCCACTGTCTGTCCGGTGGGGATTCCCGCCGCCCTTGCCTGGGGCACATTGTCAGCGAGCAAGCCTGCACCTCTGGGCTGTGGCGAGGGGTGGCTGGGCCTCAGCCCCCACGGAGCTCTTCAGACACCGTGGTCTTGGGCGCCTGGGTGTGAATCCGGGTGTCGGAAGGTTCCAGTAGCCCCTCATACTGGAAGCTGCGCTGCCCAGTCAGTCACGCCGGGGAACATCCGCCACCCTGGCGGGTGTGCAGCCATCCCCTCTGTCTGCACTTGCATTTCTCTGATGAGTTGGAGGAGGGTTTCAGTGTTCAGGACTTTTGCACAAACTCCATTGGCGTGTTTGTACTTGCAGGAGTGGCGAAATATGGAGCTCTGCTATGTCAGGGTTCCACTCGGATTTTTTGATTTACATACTTTTATGTACGTAAGCACATCGACAAAAGCACAAGTTTGAGTTTTGATTCAAATCTTTGTTTTCGTTTTAGAGGGTTTTTTCCCCTGGTACTGGAGATTCAATTCAGGAGTGCCCTACCACCACTGAAGGACACCCTAAGTCCTCTCTTAAAGAGTTTGAGCCAGGCTGGTTGGTGCATGCCTGTAATCCCTGAGGCTCAGGAGGCTGAGACAGGAGGATGGCAAGTTCAAAGCTGGCCTCAGCAATGGCGAGGCGCTAAACAACTCAGTGAGACCCCGTCTCTCTCTAAAATACAAAACAGGGCTGGGGTTGTGGCTCAAGTGCCCCTGAGTTCAATCCCTGGTACCCCAAACAAACAACAACAAAACACCCCGAGTTTGACACAGGCATTTGCTTAATTGCCCAGGCAGCCTGACTGGGATCCACCTGCCTCAGCCCCCTGGTGTGTGTGATTATAGAAGGGCGCCACCACGGCAACCATAAATGCTGTCTTTTACCGGCACAGAAACTACCCATGTCATTATTCAGACTAGTTTTTATGGTTGGTGTTTGTATTCTTTGAAAATCTATCTTTGCCCCCCACCCCAATCAATGAGGGTAACCCCCTGCTTTGGCTTCCAGGGGGGCTGTGGGTGTGGTTTTGCTGGTCTCTAGGAAGTGAGCTGGTTAAAAGGAGGGTGGTGGGCTGCAGGCGCAGCTCAGTGGTAGAGGCCCCCCCTCCCCGCAGCATGCGTGGGAGCCTGGCTTCGGCCCTGCACCTCAGATGAGTAGCCCGGGAAAAACACGCCTATTTTTCTCACAAGGGTTTTCTGGCCCCAGGGCAATAAATACAGCTATTTTTTATTTCCAAATTTGTTGTGAGACTCTGTGCTGCTCTATTGGTGTATATGCCTATCTTGCTCCAGGACCATGCGATTGGACTTAGATTCGCTTTTATAGTAAATCTAGTATCTAGAAGTATGTGTCTTCCAGCCGTTGTTTAATTTCTTAAAGACCGTTTGGATTGTTTAAGACTTTGGTTTCCCTTTTTGTATTACCAGCTTGTCTGTGCAAAATGAGCATGGTGAGATTTTAGAGAAGATTGCCAGAAGATTTCATTCTGGGAAGAACCAAGAAAGCTTGTTGGTTGGTTGGTTGGTTGGTTGGTTTTTGTTTTGGTAGAGGGGATTGAACTCGAATTGGATGGTGCTGTGGCCCAGAGCCACATACCCAGCCTCCCCTATTTATATTTTATCTAGTGACAGGAATTGCACAGTTTCTCCAGGCCTAGCTAAGTTGCTGTAGCTGGCTTTGAATTTCCGATCCTCCTGCCTCAGGATCCTGAGCTGCTGGGATTCGGGCATGCATGACCACACTTGGTGACCATAAAGTTTGAATAAGAATTGAACTCGGGCATGCTTTCCGACTGACCCATCTCCTCAGACCCCCCCCCCCCCTTTTTCACATTTTATCTAGAAACCGGTCTTGGTAATTTTACCAGGGCCTCGTTAATTTGCTGAGGCTGGTTTGCAATTGAGATCCTCTTTGCCCCAACCTCCCAGGCTGCTGGGATTTGGGCATGCGCAGCGCCCCCTCCCCACCATTAGGCTTGAACAAGGACTCATCCCAAGCACAGAAAGACCATTTGTCTCCACTTAAGCAGCTCCTCAGTTTCTCTCGATGCTGCTCTTTTCTCTTCGGGGAATGCCCCAGCACATCATCATTACACGTGTGCCTACATTTTCAGTGATTTGGGCACTGTTTTCAGTGGGGCTTACATTTTCTTTCTGGTGACTTGTTGCTCTTATACGGATGTGCTGGTGGTGTTTGAAGAGTGTTGCTGGATCCAGCAACTTCCTACAGTCACTTCCTACCTGCAGTGGCGTTGTATCCTTCCGAGTATTCTCCCTACATAGAAATGTCCTCAGAGAAAGATTGAAAGTTCCACTTGAAACATTATACTGTCCTGTTTATCTGCCTGCAGTGCACTTGGGGGACCTTCAACTGACCTTATTGACTATATGGTAGACATCCTCCTCATCTTGTTGACGAATTTAGGGACAAAATGAGCAATACTTCACCTGTAATTTGGGTGCTTCCATGTTGGTTTTTTTTTTTTTAATTTTCATTGAATTGTTTTGGGGTGTTGGTTTGTTTTTGGAGGTGGGGGAGAAAGGTTTTATTAGGTTAAGGAGGTTTCCTTCTCTTATAAGTTACTGATAGTTTTCAATCATGAATAGGAGTTGCAAATTAACCAAAATATAAATATCGATCATGTGAATTCCCTTATTTCCTTCTGCTTCCTGTTGTTAATGTGGTTAACTCTGACTGATCTGAGGATGTGGACAGGTCTTGCCTTCCTGCATTCCATGGTGCCATGCCTTGATGTATGTGTTTTTATCTCTCGTTGCACTGGGTTGGCTTTTATTTTACTTAGGATTTTCATCAGTGTTGTCAGGACAGATGTCGGCCCGTGGTTTTCTTTCCTTCTAATGTCCTTGCTAGCTGTTGGCATCAGGTTGACACTGGCCTCACAAAGTGAGCCGAAAACTTGTTCCTTTTATCTACTTTACAGAGGAGTTTGTGTAAAACACATTTCTCACCTGAGTATTTGGAGGACTCATTAGGGAGATGTCTGAACTGGAAGGTGTGCATTTTTTCTTTGTTAATACTTCTACCATCCCAGTGGCTCACGGAGGCTGGAGCAGGAGGATCTCGAGTTCAAAGACGGCCTCGGCCACTTTGCAAGGCCCTAAGCAACTCATTGAGACCCTGTCTCAAAATTAAGAAATATAAAGGGTTGGGGGTGTTGCTCAGTGGTTAAGCGCCCGTTGGTTGAATCCCTGGTACCATGACAAAAATTTTTCCAGACGTGAGAGCATTCAGATTTTTCTCTTTCACATGGGATTGAATTTTATTTTTTTCTACGAGTGTTTTCTGCTTCGTCTCATTTTTCAAATCTGAAGTCATAATTTTCACATTAATCCCAACCTCTTCTTTTCCTTCTCTTAGCATGCTTTATTTTCAGATAAAATTTCCCCTTTTCTCTCTTCTCCTTAAAAATTTATGGAATGTTCCACGAATTTGCATGTCATCCTTGCTCAAGGGCCATGCTAATATTCTCTGAGTCGTTGCAATTTTAGCGTACGCACTGCCCCAGGAAGCACTAAGGTTTTTGTTGCTTGGTGAAGTCAGACATGTCTACCTTTGGTGTGTGTTTTAACAGATCCACTTTGCCAATGTTGGTCTTTGCTGTTGTCGCTTTCTCATTCCGTTTYATCAGCTCTGCTTCCCCTTAAATAGTAAAGTGGGGCTGGGTGTGTAAGTTAGTGGTGTTAGTGGTAGAGCCCCTGCCTGCCTGTGCTACAACCCCGGCTTCCCCCTCATACCCACCCCCCCCCCGGCCAATAAAAGTAAAGCTCCTTCTCCTATTTTCTTTGCATTTGGATTTCTTGTACTCCTCTTTTACCTTACTGAAACTCACAGCTTAGGAATTTTCAGAATTTTTTTTCTTTTCTAGTACTGCATTCCACATGTTATGTTATGAGATATATTCTTCAGAGCTCGTTTACTTCTGTTGATTTCAGTTTAATTTATATTTTTGAGATGGGGTTTCAACATGTTGGCCACACGGGCCCCACACTCGCTGCTTAGGATGAATGGGGCTGGGGGGCGGGGGTATGAGACAGCAAGAGGGAGAGGGAAGAAATGTGTGTCACTGTAAAGGCACACGCCCAGTGACCCATGGCTTCCAACTCGGCTCCACCTCCTAAAGTTTCTAGCACCAACCAATAATGAAGCCCACTGAGGACCAAGCCTTTAGCCCATGGCTTGGGATCCAACCATAACAGGCAGGAAGAACCCACGGGGTTGCCATGTTCCCTGGCTGCAGATGGAGTCACTTGGTGGTGGGTGATGTCTCTAGGGGCTGCTCAGCTCTCACATCATCACCAGAGACTCGGGCTGATGTGCAGCCTTTTGGGTTCAAACTTCAGTCTAGCAGCTTCCTGGGGCTTGAGAATTCCAACAAGTGTTGATTCACACAGAAATGTCACACGAGCTTTCCAGAGAGCCAAACTGCCCAGGGTGGAGTGAGAAGCCTGGTACTGCTGGGCAGACTGCATTGCTCTTTTGCTCTATCCTGCTTCCTAGGTGCCTGGCAACTGTCACTGAATGAAGCCCATGGAGCCTCCTCCTATGCAGTTCAGTAGTCCTCCATTTCCTTTCTTGCTGGCCTCAGGGATGACCACCCCTGTCACTTATCTTCCTGTCTTCCCCAGATGTTCCTCCTTCACGTCCAGAGGGGTTCGCTTAGCAGGTGATTCTTGGGGCAGAGTGCTTGTGACTGGAACAGTTTACCTGTAGGACAAGCCATCCCTGCCAAGGGGGCTGAACCTTCCTAACCACTAAATCTTCTCTTCCCAGAATTGTGCTTTGCCAAATAGCCAGCTAAGACATGGAAGGCACTGGAACAAGTTATGCTGTGTGCATGGATGAGGACATGAAAATGCATCTCATTCTCCTGTATAATTCTAATCCACAAGGAAAAGTAATGGCAAATAAAACAAGGAATTCCTGGCCGTTATTCCATGACCTCTGGAAAATTCTTTCCTCCTCTTTGCACTCCTCTTCATGGGTAATACAGGAGGCTCACAAAACGTGTTGTACTGATTTTGTTCCAGCAGTGCTGGGGAGAGTCTTGGGTTTCGCCTGGACAATAGGGCCTTACTAAGTTCAGTCTTCTCTGTCACTGCCTCTCACCTTTACCTGCCACCAACACTGCATGGTGCACATGCAAGCTTTTCAGTGCCAGCGTGGTGGTATGTAATGAACTCTCTCTCATGAGAACAGGACAAGGAATTCCATCTCCAAACATGGGTAGCCACAGAATAGTGGGGAGTTACTCACTGAGGTCACTGTGTGTTCCGACGTGGTTGCTGATATCCGCTCATTCCACAAGTACTAATTAATCATGAGCCATGTCTGGGTGTGAGCAGCACCTTGCATGCCACCTTCCTCCAGGATCCACCTAGACTGGCCTCACATAAGGTCAGTTTTCTGAGAACAGTGTTTGTGAGGTATGGCCAAACTTGGCCCACGGGTGAGCTCACACGGGGACACAAGCACACGATTCTTTGTGCTTGCAGAGTCTGCCGGCACTTACGTGATGGTCACATTTAGTAATGAGCAGAATGTATCCACTGGTGTGTTTCAGAAAACCATGGCTAACAAAGCAGATGAATTCTCGGGCGGACCTAGACTGAGTCCTAGACCACACAAGCGGAGGAGCACTATGTCCCTGATGACAGTGCCGGAGGAAGGAGAGGGCCACTCCCGTTGGAAGGACTCCACCAAGACCCAGGGAGATGGTAATTGTGTCCTGGGTGGGTGGACAAGCCTGCAGTTGGCGTGTCAGATGCAGCACCTCCGAGAACAGGAACCTATTGGGAGAGGCTGCAGGAGGCCAGCATGAAGCAGCTTCCTGCAGGGCAGGATGGGGGCGGCAGCAAAGGAGGATGCATGGGAAGGCCCTCTCTGCCTGGCTCTTCTGTGGGTCAGGACACAGCGTGCCCTCAATCTGGCCTCCCCTCATACTGTCCAACAGAGGCTTCGCCTCCTGCCTCCTCACGCCACAGAAACCAGGGCGGAGAAGGCCAGCATGGCAGCTGGCATTGCCAGTCATTTCTCAGCTGCATTTGACCGTTGTTCACTGGCTCCGTGATGGGGACGTTCAGGGATTTCCATCTCTCCAGGCTTCTTCCTTCCTTGAGGTGGATCCTGATCTTTCGTTTATCTGCCTCTCCAATCTCACTGTTGTGATGACTTCAAAATCACACCATGTTTCTCAAGTCTTTGCTCCTACTCTGACATGATGGATTGCCACTATGTTCCAGTAACATTTTCCCGTCCTTGTGCTTCTCATTCCTCCCCTTTCACCCCTCCCCTCTCCCCCTGCAGCCAGACTGATGGTGTCAGCAGGTAAGGAATGGGCCCGTTGTGTGTCCTTCCTGGAAGAGCATCGTCCTCTATGTTCCCAAGCACACAGAACACAACCTCAGGTCCTGGTCCTGACGGTGGACCACAGTCTCTGCGTGGCCCCACATGGGTTCTGGGGGCCTCCTCCTCTGTCTCTCTGCTTCTCTCCTCCACTCCTTGGTCCTCAGCAGGTCCCCCTCTGACCCTCACCCTTACTGCAGCCTGAACTGTCCCTCTAAATCTGCACAAGCCTGCTCTGTCTCCTCCTCAGGCTCTGCTCAGAGGACACCACCCAGAAGGCCCTGCCACCACCCTCAGCCCCGGAGGCCCCTCTGCTGCTCCCTCCCACTCCTCTGCCCCCTCCCACTCCCCTGCCCCCTCCCACTCCCCTGCCCACATCTCCCCCAACAGGAGTCCAGCTGGGATGGCCTGTTGCTCTCCATGCACTTCCTCTCTGACTTCCCATCTCGGTGTAGGTTCCATCAGGGCAGGTGCAGTTTCTGTCTGCTTCATTGCTGGTGGCCAGCTCCTGGCACCAAGGGGGTGGCGTAATTAGAGGTGTCGCACTTGAGTGACATAAATGCCTTTTTCGGATACTCCAAACATGAGTGAGGAGGGTCTGTCCTCTTGACAGGGATCTCTGGTGACTCAGCGTGAATCCCATCAGGCATCTTGACACCACGTGAACCTTCCAGCTTTTTGACACCTAAAGTACATCACAGGACACAGACTCATGGGTGCCATGGCCCTGTGAATGTTTTACTGATAGATGTCCCGTCCCCTGTGTTTCTGCATGCAGTCACAGGGCCACAACTTAGGAGGTGCTTTCCCTGTCCTCTGTGTCGCGATGTCCAATTTTGAGGTCCAAGAATTCTCTGGTGCTCCCAGCTGCTCTGAGAAAAGTAATCACAGGACACGAGCTTGCAAATGTCCCGTGTAGGGCGTAGGGTGGTGAAGCCCACCTGCCTCATGGCTGAGCCTCCCCATTGGTTTCCAGATGCCACTGCCAGCCGCGTTGCCCCTGAAGAGACAGTGCAAAGTGATCCCACCACAGTGAGAGGCTCCTTGGCCACAAGCATGGCAGCCGGCAGCGTCCCCTTCTATCCACTGGCTTCTCCTCCTGAGGCCTCCACTGGTCCCAGCCAAGGGGGGCTGCTTCTCCAGGCCGGTGGAAACCCCTTTGGGGCAGGATTCGTGAGCAGTGGCCCCTCTGCACGTGGCCCTGAAGTTCCTGCCATGCCCATGGTGGCGGTGGTGCCCGATCCATTTCCACAGAGTATTGAGGAAATCAACGTTGGTATCAAACATCAGCTCATGAAGGAAGTTCGACAGTTTGGACGAAGTAAGTGGCGGGAGGATGGTGGCGATGAAAATGCAGGAAGGCTCTCTCAACCTGTGGTTTAGAAGAGCTTGGAACTGGCTGAGTGGACTCGGCCTCGGCCAGAGTTGAGTCCTCGCTAATATCCGACGGTTCCCCTCTACTTTGCTTAGTGTGTCCCCCGTACGTCTTTTCCTGTCTTGTCTTTGATGGTGGCTGTTTCCTAGAACTCTTTAGTGGCTGTGTGCAGAGGTCTCCATTTCAGCATTTCAGCCCCACACACTCTGTACCTTTGCAGCCCAGAGGGCAGGATTAGCGAGGGCCACAAACGGCAAGACTGAGTTTTGTTTCTTCCTCGATATTGAGGTGTTCTTAATACCTTCAGAATACGAAAAGATCTTCAAGTTGCTTGAAGAAGTGCGAGGCCCTGTGGAAGTCAAGAAGCAGTTTGTTGAGTTCACCATCAAGGAAGCAGCAAGGTGGGTGGCCGAGGAACTGGTGGAGTTCTTTCAGCAGTTGGGCTGGGGCGGTGTGGGGGCTGAGTGGTGGGGACAGGGCCTGCCCCTGCTTGAGCATCCTGGGTCCTGCCCCCACTCACAGTTGAGGCTTGCTCTGTGTTGTTCAGCCTGTGTCCTCTGAGTCTGACTCACCCTCCCACACCCACTGGGCCTGGCCATGTCGCCATGGTCTGGGCTGGTTGACGGCCCCCGTGGACACTCCTTGTGCACCTGAGCGTCTCTCCCCAGGTGTGTGTTCCTTTCCTTCCCGTGTAGACCGTGGGCTCCCTGCCTGTCTGCCACAGTGCCCCCCACTTCCTGGTGTCTTTGGGATTCCGCTGGGTAATGGCATGTCCCTTCATTTTCAGATTTAAAC